AGTAAGGGTTCCCAGGCTCTTTCTTATACACAGATCAAAACAACTTCATGTTTACACAACATACACACCCTAGTTTTCACCAATTCCCAACAGATAGGGACACCTGTTTGCCAGGTCACTCTGATCTTCGTTTTGGTTTTCAGTCCTGATCTTTATGCTCTATAGCACGGGTTCCCAACCCCCGGGCCACAACCCGGTGCTAAGCCGCAAAGGGTTGGCTGCCGGTCTGCAGGAGGGCTGGCCTGTCCTATCCTGTGGCAGTGGCTGCCATGGTTGAGGTTTGGCCCCTCCCTCCCGCCCACTGGGTGAAAGTGTCTTTACGGTTGTTCCAGCTGGCAGTTCCGGCCGCAGGGCCCCACGTGGTGTCATGAGAAGTGACCGTGGACCGGCAAATTGTGGACTGGAAGTGACCAACATACAGCAGACCAGCAGTCAACCTTTTTTTATACTGAGTATAAGAAGGGGTTGGCTGCTGGTCCACAGTTTGCCAGTCTGCGGTTTGCTGGTCCTTGATCTAAAAAGGTTGGGAACCTCTGAGCTAGACCATGGGTGTACAGGCAGCTGAGGGCCACACAGTGTGTGGGCCACAGATCTAGTAGCCGCATTCAGCAGAGGCAGGTGGGTGCATCCCTTTTTCTTCTCCACTGCACAGGCTACCTAGTGTCCTCCTCTTCTGGTCATGCTCCCCGGGAGCACCCCCAAAGGAAGAGGCCTATGCCCTATGCTACAGAGGAAGGCAAAACCCCTCACAGTCCATGCTGATATGCCCAGGGGGTGAAAATCTTTCTTGATTCCCTGTCATGATTGTTCTGACCCTGACTAGAGAGGCAAAGCTCTCTAACCAGAAAACCCAAAATTATTTTAGTCTCAACAAGAACATTGTCATATCCCAGTCAAAAGCCCCAGCCTTGGCTCCAGACAACAACCAATGCTTTTGAGGCAGGTGAAAAAAAATACCCTAACACCTGTAGAAATAGGAAGGGAAAATATTCTTCCTTGCCCCTATGTGGCAACCAGCAAAGCCCATAATCATGGGAAAAATAGACACCCTCCACCCTGCTCTGGAATCTGGGGACTGCAAACACTGTTCATATATCACACATCCTAACTGGAGAGCCAGGGCACCTCTTTCTGTTCTCCTATCCCCTCCATAAACTGATTGCCATCTCCTTTAATGTTCTTTCATAACTAAGCTGGTTATGAAGCTTTGCTTTATTTCCCTTCTGATGAGCATGGATCTCTACAATTTTTACCAGTTTTGGGCTTCAGAGCCCTCTTGTGATCTAGTGATCTGTTAGGGGAGGGGGAGCTCCTGTTGCTGTCTGGGAAAGTGCATGCATGCAGTTATTTCTCTTAAAGAAAGGGAGGATTTGCCTTTGCTGACTTCTACAAATAAGTCTTGTAAAGACACTTGGTTCAAAAATCAGAAATCACTGCAAGAATTAGTCTCAGAAATGTAATATAAATCCAACTAATGCCCTAATTGGTCAACACTGGATTTATTTCTGTTTAGATAAGAAGTTTTATATAAAACACAGTGTTAGCAGAAACCTTGAATACAATAGAGCCACACTTTGAGCACTACTCATTTTACTTAAGTGATGCCACGTATATATTGTCCAGGATGGTACTACTGGGAAGAAGTAGCAGCCTGTTAATGGCTAAGTCTCACTCCCAGAATCTGGTATGACCACAGGAGTCAAAGCGTTTTCAGAAGTGGTGTGGGAGGGTGTCTGCAAAGAGCAAATGATCTCATTACTTGTCCTCCCTGCTCCCAATTCAAAATAATTAATACCTAAATGTTCCTTACAATTAGTTTAGTTTCCTGCCTGGCTGGTTGACAGACACTACTGAGGTTTGAATCCACTGCAAACAAAAGCAGATGGCTACCTTCGCTAACAGATTATGGCATCAAGGCATACAGCCATTCAGCTCTGTCTCAATAAATTTCAACTTCTGATTTATAAAGTGAGCATAATAGAAGAAATCCATGATGCCTATAATCAGAATCACATTACAGCACCACTTAAAGCAGTAGCAGAATTGCCTAAGTAGTTATTGTATACTCGTGCCGAATTCAAATCTTATTAGGCAAGAAAGCAGTGCCTGGAAAACAGTTTGTCTTGCCTTTGCTATTACAATCTCTCATTTCATTTTTATTGAGCTAATTAAGCTTAAAGTGCTATTTCAAGTATAGATAGCTACTACTGGATTTTTGGCTAACATACTATGTGGCCCATTTAACATAAATCATCTGATTATTTGCTTATTTGGGACTTTATAAAAAACATCATCTTGGTATACTTGTATACCTGCAATTTCATAATGGAAGTTCATTAGTTTCATGCTGATTAAACCAGAAATAGAAAGGGAACTGAAGTATAGTAAATAGCTATTTGGAATAGCAGGCACTGCCTGTTGTTTTAGATGATAAATTGCAAACAAAACATACCTCTCATTACTGATGAGGTGTGCTTCATGGTCAAGGGCAAGGCTAGAGTTATCTATCCATAGTGGATGACGGCTCCAGATGATGGCACAACATTTCCTAACAAAGGTCCTGTATTTTCAGCATCCTGTGTGCTTATTTTTTCCATGAAGATAAATATAATTTTGAAGGACAGGAAAAATATGCTTGTCATGTGTTGTGCACTTGAAAACTAAATCCACTCTTGGTTGCATACACTGCTGGTCATATTTTTCAAGAGTCCTGCTTTAATTTAAGCTCTTTAATGAAGTCTTTGAATTTTCAAAAATCCTCTTTTTTTTTGGAACTCCCACTGTTTCGACACTTCTGAAAATTTGTCCATTTAAATGAGTTCCCAGTGGTAGACCTGTTGGGCAGTGAGCTAGCTGAAAATCTTTCCCAGAGTGGCTTTGTGGGGCTTGTTTTATTCCTGTGCTAGAACACCACTACATTCAGGGAAGACAGGTGAGGTGTTTCTGTTTTGTCTCCCTAATTCTGAGGACCATTTCTGAGTGAAGTTAGAACAGCTTCCCAGCAAATGATCTAGGTTCTATAATTAGTCTGCTGCTTGGAGGATAGTGTAAGAATGAAGTAGAAGGCCCCCAGGATCCCAAGTAAGGCTTCTGGGGCCAGCCTAGAGTCCGTTGGAGATCCTCCCCTGCATGAAGTCCTGGAGCACAATTTCCCCATAGTATATATATGGCATAGGGAATACTAAGACAACATTATTTGGGCAAAAGGAAAATAAAGACTTTATTACAACTATTACAAAGGTGAGAAAATATGATACAACCTACTTTTCCTCAAGATTGGAGGCACAAATTAGAATTGGCTTAAGTGCCATTTTTACCTTCTACCTATGTTCCTTTATGTCAATACCTTAATATATTTGAAAATAAAATGTTTTGGGGTATGTGGTGGAAAAGAGTAGCTCCAGGGCATTACTTTTATCAAACGAGCTTTTTGCGTTCTTTGACTGAACATTAATTAACAACAACAAATCGGTGATTAGCTGAGCAAGCTGCATTCTTGACTACATACGGACTGTTTTCAAAGTGTTTCTGATAAACATAAACCCATACATGTTTTTTTGCTTGTGTCATAGGCTTGCCTTTGGCAAACTTAAGCAGTTATAACCTCACTGTTCTGGAAGGAAATAGCATCACAGTGTATTGTGATGCCACTGGAGTGCCACTTCCCAACGTATCCTGGGCTTTCACTAATCTTGTTTCAAACCATGAGGTAAGCTTTTTGTTCAAATAGGTGTCTCTCTAGAGACTGAATCCATCTGCTGAAGGATGATCTGGAGCATGGCTTTCAATCTTTATTATTTTTATAATCATAAATATGAAATGGAAAATTAATGTTATCCTTACATTTACTTTCCAGCTGTTCTTAATCCACAGTGACTGATGCAATGCTTCTTGGAAAAACATATTTATTCTTTGAAATACTGATTTTTGTTTGAAGTATATGTACCTTCATTTGTAAACTACAGTTCTGTAATTCTATAAGAATACTAGTTACATGATGAGTTAGGAACGTGAAGCTCAAACACTTATTATTAGGAAAATACTAGTTTAGTAAATGTGAAGTTTCATGAAAAAAGTGTTGTGCATATAATTGTACTGTATTCTCAGACCACAGATATGATATGCTTGAGTTATAGTTGTAAATATTAATTACTTTAGTCGGGAAAAACACCTTGATAATGTGGGTTTTTTATTTTCTTTAACAATATAACAACATACAAATTTGACTTTCAAGTTACTCTAGAGGAAATAACAAGATTTAATTATAATATATGGAAATACTAACTTATAATGTCACCCAAATGCTGCCCTTTACAATCCTACCATTCTGTCCCCATTTTCACAGTGTGTACAAGTCAAAGACATGTTGATTATTTTCTTTATAATGCAGATGCTGATAAGGCCTTTGACAAGATTTCAGCATGGGACTGCTGATATCTTAAATCTACCTTATCTGCATTGCATTCTGGAATTTGTGACTTTAGTCTTGAAATTGTGGTTTTCTGCCATCTTGGAGTGTAAACTGCCTAAGTTACTCCATATGAGATGTATGGCCTTTGCTGGACAAAGAAGGCTGTTTCCTATCTTCCACATCTGCTTAAATGTGAAAAGGACAGGGAGATGCCCCAGCAGGACATCTGCTATAGATGAAATTTTGGGGAAGTGGTATAGTTGGCCTTGTCTGCCTCTCTACTCCACCTTAACACATTGCTTCTCTGCATTAAAAAATTGCAATAATAGTTGCATCTACAATGAATTATGAACTGCCTTGAATTTTTAAAAATATTTAAGAATTTTTCTAAGCCAGAAAGAAGAGGTAGTGCAGTTTGCAGGATGTGCAAGGACTCGGTTTTTTTATCCCAAGGGAACCAGAATGTCATGTGGCCTTTTAACCTCTGTTACAGCTCATTACATTAGGCCTGTACAGGTAATCATGACACTTGCTTTGTGGCTGTTAGAATTAAGAGTGCTAAGGTCTGTAACATACAGAGAAATTAATTTTAAAACTAGACTTTTAAACTAGCCAAATACACCAGTCCACCACCAAGATTGAGAGGTCAAAACAATTTAGGGAGCCTATGCCAAGCCTTCTTTTAAACAAAAACAAATGGAGGATAATGCTTAAATGAGATCACCTTGGGCTTTTCAAAAACCTTTTTATCTTTAAAATGCAGCATCCAGTTTGTTTAAAAGCTTTCGAGGAAAATTCTATCCTGGCATAATTTTGGATCTGTGAAATTTCAAAGGGGCTTGTAATGGAAGGCTAGCTATGGAGTAACACTAGTCCTTTCAAGAGTAAGACATGGAGTGCTCTTTAAATTCATTTGCCATTCACCACTAGCCTTCCCTTTCTTTGCTAATTGGTTTTCTATTTTCATTCCTCTTCTCCACACCTTCATGTCTTTGTTTTTGTCTCTTATATTGCTCCTCCTAGTACTTCTGTGTATTTTCTTCTTATAAGGAAAAATCCTTGCAGGAATAGAGTTTAGTTATCCAGATGCTTAACTTGTGCTTCAGTTGGAGTTTTTACTATGCACTTTGGCCCTGATCCTGCAATCAGTTCCCTGTGAATAGACTCTTCCATCTGGTGCAAGTCCCAGTGATTACAGTAGGACTAGTGAGTCAAGTTAAACACATGGGTAAATGTAGCATTGGAGTAAGAAGCGTTGCATCATTCAGGTCAATGGGAGTTTTGCTGTTGACTTCAGTGGAGAAGAGGGGAGTGGGAATGAGAGAATGGACAATTCCTTACACCTCAAAGAGGAATATTGAAGTTACTATGGTTCTGTACCTGCAATGCTGCTGCTCTGTCATGAGGATCATATAGAATTCCTAGCAAGGGAAGTTAAGTAGATTTGTGAACTGTTCATTTTCTCAGATTTATTTTGTTTACTTTTCTTCTTTAAGCAACATTAGCCTATTTTATGTAAAACTGAAGAAAACAGAGAGTTGTTTTTGACCATTTTAAGGACCTGCTTTAAGATAATTGAATCCAAGCTATTTTGCTTAAGACCTGACACTTCATTTGTCATTCATCCTGCTGTCTTTTAATGTTGCAGCACATAATCCAGTTATTGTTTAGGTAGTGCTTTAAATGCTCACAGAGCTTTATAAAATATAAAAGACTCAAGGTGTGCCTCAATCAGCCTACACTCAAATGCAACAAGATGATGGGGGTAATAGTTCAGGAGCTTGAAGAAACCAATTTGCTGTAGGAAGGATTCAGGCTAGAAGGAAGCTTTCAAAACTAAGTTGAGAGGGAGAACACTTTGTAGTTATGGTGAAGTAGGCTGGAAACAGATGTAGCCTTTGTGCCTCCAAAAAGTTTTTATAGAGGCACAAAGCCCAAGAAAACAGATGTCCATGCCCCTTTTTGAGCCACAACTGTCCAAAATTGTGACCATGACAATAGGTGGTATAAATTTATGCCACTTTCTTGTGCTGGATGTCTGCTTGTTTTATGGTGTGAGAACACAGGCAGCCTGGAACTGCCTCTCCAGCCACACTGGACTGACACTCCTGGGGCTTCAGGGGCCCAATCCTATGTGCCCTGGTAATTCTCCAGCAAGAATAGGCCCCTGAAGCCATGAGAGTGCCTTTCCAGGTTGGTCTGCTTGTAGAGGTTTGCCTTGGGAATCCCTTGGAGGGGATGCTCCAGACATGCCTGTTATGCTGGTGCACCTGACTCAGGACAATGGGTGACATCTGTGCCATCTAGTGAAGCAAATCATCTGTGCTGAGACGTATTCTAGCAAAGCTGATCCCGCTTCAAATAAAACTTTTATTTATAGCTATAGACTACTCAAAGATTAGAGAGAATCAGTGTAGCATAAACGTTTAAAGCAAAAAGTGATAGAGATTAAAGCAATGGAAAAGCAAAGGTTGAAAGGAACACAGGAGGTGAAAGCATTAGTAACGGGTGCCTTTTGAATCTGGTCAGGGGGCAATGACAGCAGCCCTGTCAGGGGGGCACCAGCCCTACTGACAGCATTAGTGTTGACTGTCAGGTGGGGTATGTGCACCCCCTACCAGTCACCTATGGGTGACAGCATGACTGAGAAAAGAAGTTCAGAGTAGGCCTTAAAATGAATGAGTGATGAGATAAAACAGAGGGAATGAGCAAGGGAATGCGTATGAAAAGGCCAATCAAATTTTCATGCAAAGGAAGAAATGTCAGAAGAGAGGGACTGGGAGTGGATGCCCTTGATGCTTGGAGTTTATGTATTCATCTGGTTTCTGAAATCTGCACTCATGGTTTCTGTTTCCCCACCTTAGTATATTTTAAAGAATCAAGATGTTTGTAATTTTAGATAATAGAGGTTGTGCAGCACACAGACAGTGTCGTTAAAGGACATAATGAACAGACCGAACTCCATACTGTTTCTACACTGTTCAGTACTGCTGAAGTCAACATAGATTGTATATCAGCAGTTTCTTAGGTTAGATTATGTGGGTGTAAATCAACAGAGGGCCATAGAATCGTATTTAATATATAATATTATGGTGCTGAATAAAATTTTATGAAAATAGTAGCAAATTGCCCATCAAGAATGATGGTGGGGATGGGGGGGGAGGGGGAGGCCAGTTCCATGCCA